CGCTTGAGAAAAATGGAAATAACAGCCAATATGTTGAGTTGTTGGAAACTGAAAAGAAACCAAATAGAAAAAGGTGTTTTTCCGATTAAGATAATATATACTTCATCCTTTACTGCAGAAACTGAATCTGATTCGAAGTCAGTCATAATAACTGAAAGTGAAAAAACTGTTTTCTATCTGAAAGCAGCATTTTTTAATGCAGAAAAAAATTGTTTATATGTTGCAGCTTTTTTATTCCCCAATAAACCAAGTACGAACATATACGTCACAGCTTTTAGCTATACATACCATATATTTTTATTGGGCGTTTTTTTCGTTCCATTTGCATATAGATTGATTCATTATTAAAAGACATGGCCCTTTATTCGAAGTAATGAAATTTAAATCACTGTTGATGCTGCTTGCCGATTCAGTGGCAGCTTCCATCTGTATATTTATCACTAGAATAATGAACAACTGACAAGTATTATTCTTATTCTTCTTTATTACATTGTACTAAGTGACCAATGTCTGATCAACCAATGATAGATTTAAAATAACATAAGTTGCTATCAATCCTACAATAGTAACATATTTATCGAACATCTTTCAAAACATTCTTTCTTTCAGAATTTTTAATTTTATTTTTATGAATTTCTTTCGACATTTTTACTTTCGACCAAAGTTGAGTTTACCTCATCAGACACTTCTCAATTCCTATTAACCAGAATATATGTGGCAGCAAGAGTTCTGTGAGTAGCCTTTTCAGAATTTAGTTCGACAAATCTCTGTTTTTTATCCTGTTTAATAGACGTTTTATTTTTCTCATTTTTGGTTGAATGAAATATTCAAATTTCCACATGAATCATTCTCACTGACTCATCACTCACTTGAAACTCATCGTAATGATGAGATATTACCTTGGTTTAACAGTTGTGTCTCTCAGACATATCGGAGTACTGCTGTCGGCCGCTAGTGTCATCTAGTCTCTGACATGTATCTTCGTCTCCATCTCGATCGATGTTCATTCTTATCTCGACAAATCGACTTTTCTTTTTCGTTCTGTCATCATTCCAGGCATTCTCCTATGTAGACGGTTGTTATCAAAAGAAACTAGTACTCTTCACGTTTTGCCTCACATGTTGTCACACGAAGAAGAGAAACAAGTGCACATTTTTGTTCGTTATTGTATTAGGAAGTCAGAAATTTTTCATTCTGTTGTTCTGTATCTTTTTGATTCTGCAAAATAAGTGTCAGACTGAAATGAATATGTCCCATTGTGTCTCGAACATACCTCGCTTCGTTTTCTCAGCCGATAGAAGGAGAAAAAATGGAAAGACGATCTCTTTCTTCTGCTCATAAGGCACTCTTGATAAGAGAACAGAAAAACAAAGTGCAACGCGTGCATTTTTTTCTTCTCCAAGAATCCGGAGAACAATGAAGAGAAGGAATCATGCATATAAATAGGAGTGGCGTTCTCTCACAATCGTCATTCATTCATCTTTTTCCTTCAATACAATTACATACCCCCATATAAATTCTATAATAATGTCCAACCATACATCATCACAAGCTGGAGATAAAAAAGTTGATGACAAAGGCTCAGAAGATCCATCGCATCCAGGAATGAATCCTGATTATGCTGAGCGTGGCAAAGAGCTAGGCGAAGCAAATGCCTGTGGTGGTCACAGTGTAGGCACGGGTGGTCATGGCAAAAGCAGTGGCTGTAGTATGTCAAATAACATTGGGTGTTCCATAAGTATCTGCCCCATTTTATTGTTTTATTATGTTTGCCGGATTTAAAGATGAATGGTGATTAACGATATATTTTGGGAGAGTAGCGTCTAAGATATCATCCACGAAAAATTGGCCTCAATTTGGATCAACTCAAAGAAAATACTACATTGCTAAAAATATGGAACAAAATTTATCCAAGTTATATCCTTGATCTGGTCGAACGTTACAGAATTTCGTTTTTTCTGTCTTTGGTGAGTCGTATCTCCGCAGAGATAAAAGCAAAGGTCCTTGCGTTTTCGATGTCGATCGTTCACAGTCATAGCTACCATCAATAAAAGTTTCCTTCATTTTGGTCAAGCCAAACTCGAATTATTCTTGAAATACTGACCGTTATACAGTATCAGTTTTTTTTATACTCTGTAGTGGTCAATATTTCAAGAATAACTCGAGTTTCGCTAGACCAAAATGAGCAAAACCTTTATGGATAGGAGATCTAACTGTAAGCAATAGACACTAAAAACATAAGAGTCTTCGATTTTATGTTCGCGGAAATAGGGCCACCCGAAGTCGAAAAAATGAAATTTCTGAGCATTCGACCAGGTCAAGAAAATAACTTCGACAAAATGCTTTCGATATTGTTACCAATGTCGTATTTTCTGTGAGTTGATACAAATTGAGTCCAATTTCTCTTGGATGATCGCTTAGATGCTACGTTTCCAAATAATATCATCAATAACCATTCATCTTAAAATCGGGCAAAGACAATAAAAAAAAAATAGAAACGGGACCGATACTTATGGAGCACCCTCTGTCTCTCGAACATTCTTTCAATTGCAATGTTAACATTGTTTTAGGCAGCAGACAACGTGTCGGTGGTGAACACTCGATAGATGCATTGCATTTCACCCAAGAGAAGCTGCATCCAGGAATGAATCCTGATTATGCTGAGCGTGGCAAACAGTTAGGCGAAGAAAATGCCTTTGGTGGCCACAGTGTAGGCACGGGTGGCCATGGTAAAAGCAACGGCGGTGGTATGCCATTTAATATCTCTCAAATATTCTTTCAATTTCAATGTGAACACTATTTTAGGCAGCAGACAACAGATTGGTGGTGAACACTCGACGGATATGTCGCAGTTCACCGAAGAGGAACTCCATCCCGGCATGAATCCCGATCCGGCAGCACGAGGTGCTGAATTGGGCCGTGAAAATGCGCAAGGCGGCCGTAGTGTGGGCACCGGTGGACATGGAGCGACTGGAGCCCAAATTTCCCAAGCGAGAAATGTGCAAGATCAACTGATTTCACATGAAGATCCTATCCACTCAAGCTGATGCCATAATCTCAGATCTTGACTTCGTCTTTATGTGCATTTGTTAAAATTTCCCGCGTCGTCCGTTTGCTTTAAACGAACTTACGTACGTTCATCTTCCATTCGTTTAACACTCTATCATTCGTTTCTTCATGTGTGCACTGTTGAAAAAATTAGAACTTAAATAATAATAACAATCATATATTAAGTAATGAAAAATAGCAGCTACATTCAGTTTTACATGTACCAGGATTTTTCGACCTTTTTTAGTAAGGTCATTGTCAGCAATAAGACATCATTTATGACCTGAGTACTTTTTTATTCGAAACAAAGAACAAAAAATAGAACATAAAGAAGCACAAGGCAAGAAATATGATAACATAACACATTAATACTTTAATTAAATATATCTGTTAACATTTATACAATCTTCAATAAGGACATTTTACAGTAAAAAACAAAGAATATGATCATAAGAAGTGCAATTCTTTGATATTGCGCGTAATCAAATCATTCAAATAAATTCTTAATTACTATATCACACCAAAGTGAAGGAAAATTGTTTTTTTAGAATTTTATTTATTCATATTTACTCATAATACTAATCGCTTTCTATGTAAACACACAAAGATATACATGTTTTTTTATTTTTAATCAAAAGAAACTATTTTATAATTAAAATTAATTTCATTTATCCAGAGTTTGTTTAAAAGCCGCATTTTAAATCTGTATCTCTTTCGTATCGACCTGAATGCTATAATAGATACGTTTACTCAAAAAATCACTTGCGTCTCTTTTATTTGTTTTAACCGGAAGATAAAATAAAATATACACTCGAACAGGGAAACATTTCTAAAAATCTAATTACTTTTATTTTTAGACTCTTTCCATTTTACTTGTCATCATCAATAATGAATAAGTCTGCTTTAGTTTACTTTTATGATTTTCGCTCGTTCAACTATGATGATCATACAACTGCCTAGAACTTGGATTATCGAATTTCAATAGGAAATATTGTTCATAGATAGACTTGAAACATCTCAAAGTTAGAGCTCGAACGAACATTTCATAACTAACACGGAAATGCTTTCAAGTTATTATTCATTTTCCAATTCGGTCATTATCTATAAGTTTGATTTGACTATCAATGATAAATGAGAATACCTTCAACAAGGATTATTCTCTTCACGCCTTCTGTTCAGAGTTATAGGCATTTGATTAGCATATATTATATTCTGCCTTGGTATATATCAATCAATTTAATAAAGATATTTTAACCTGTGATTTTGTACATAGATAAATCTATTTATCAATAGAATGTTCTGAAAAATTCAGTTAGAAAGAATATATCTTTTTCGAGATATTGAAGTACGAAAAATAATTTTTTTTGTTCGAAGAAAGATGCGAGAGTTTTGCTTTCTTTTCGAATTTATATATCTTGAAGAGATAAATTCTTTTCAATTGTAAATTTCAATCCATTCTATGTCGAACTAGATCTGTCTTAGAGCAAAATCTCAGGTCATTATATCCTTATTCGATTTATTCAAGTTTGATTATCCAGATTCTCAGTGATTCTATGGTTCGTTGGGAAAATATTGAACAAAACAGCCATAGTTCAACAAGCAAAGATCTGAAAATGAAATTGAAATAGTTTCAAAGTAAAAGTGATTAGACATTTATCAATATTTCTTTGTAAGTTATAACTTCTAGAGATAATTTTGATAAATAATCGGTCAATTTGATAACTTCTTGTTGAGTCTAGTATTCTCTTTTGATCAATTAAACAATATATTTTTCATATTATTGAATAAATCTGGTTTTTATCTTATAATTCAATTAAGCAGAAAAAGAAATACTTTGTTTACAATACATAAACACTGCGATGATGATGATGCTGTTCCATATTTTAAAACATATAAAACAAGACAACAAAAAAAAACATTGTTTATTGTTATTTGAAAAAAAAAATGGTTGATTAAGATGCACGTTTATCTTCTTTTAATGTAACAGTTCGATTAAATACATACTAAAATAAAAAATAAAAATAAAAATAATTAATTTATATAAATGAATTTATACTTTTTCATTTGTTGTATCAGGATCAACACTAAAACATTCAACACGTTCAAATTGAAATTTATCAAGTACTTTAGCATTTTTAATTCCATCATTAGTAAGAGTATTTGAGTTAATTGTTAACGAATTCTTAAATAAACAACACAAATTATTAAAATAAAAACAAATAATCGCGGTTACAATCCCCGAATCATCTATGGAGAGATTGCGCCAATAATTGAGTATCCTTTAAGAAACGGTACAATTCAATGTTATAATACGAGAAACGCAATTATGACATGTGGATCCAATGAATTTTGCAATTTAGATTATGATCAAAGAGAAAAGAAGTTCAGATCACGTGGTTGCAAGCAAAGTTTTGAATTGAGAGTTCATGTTGTTGATGGCGGATCTTATTCATCATTTGACATTGCATGTAATCGTGATTTATGTAATACTGATGAAACATTTTCACGAATCAAAACTATACTTATCAATTATGGTTTAACAGATGACAATGGACGATGAATTGCAAAGGAAATGTACAAATGGTTTCTTTACTATTAATGCTGGTAGCTTTGGTTTTTAATATTTTTTATTCTTTGTGAAATAAGAAGCATTATTGCTTTAAAATGAAATTATATTTAATTAAGGTAAAGAAGCAATATGTGAATAATTGACTCTCTTATATTGAAATCACTTCAGGCCGATTGTTTTAGTTAGAGTTAATTAAGGAACTGCTCAACAATGATTTATATTTATTTAGATTCAGGATCTTATCAATCCGATGAAATCATCTTCATGTTAATAACAAAAAAACCATCCTTTCGACAGACTTTGGTTGGTACAATTGATATTTTTTTCGTCAAGTTTGCACTGAAAGGCCTCTAAGAGCAAATCAAGAAAAACACGTATATAAGGTTTCTTCAGAAGAAGTGATATATTGGTTTTTTTCTTATTTGAGATCATCCTTTTAAGTGAAGTACCACTTGATTTTTTCTTAGTTACATTGAAAAAATTAAGAAATAGTATTATGCTTACTTGAATAACTTCTTGATGTGTCAGTTGATATTGTTTGTACAAAAACTAAATTGTGTATCGAGTTTGGTTTTGAAATAGATTGCATACTTTTTCATTTAGTTTTATCAAGATCTAGTTTTTTTTTAGTTGAACGAGACAAGCAGGTGAGAAACATTTCAGATTAAAAGAAATATTTTTGTCGATAGTCTTGTAGTTAGAACATAATCTGAGATCTCCTTGATATTAAAAGTTTATGACGGACAGTGCGGAATTTTTTATTCAAGATCGAGTTAAAATTGTAAACTAGCAGATGACTTTTCTCGGCTATCATCAATGCATTAAGTGTGCTTCGAAACCAATCATTTTATACTGGTCTCCGATTGCGATTTTTTAAAAATATAGGAATCCTTAGAGGATCAAAATTGTCTAAAATATAGGATTTTCGATAAAAAATGACAAAAATATAGGATTTTTTATAGATCGTTTCTGTTCAATTGTTTTGGTATTTGTTAACTTCTCTGCCCGAAAATCGTTTTAATGAAGCTGTTATAAACAGCTCAACCATAACCAAGATTCTTATGTAATTTCTTTCTACTGAAATAAGTCGTTAATTCGAAGATCACTATAAAGTTTAATTATAAAACTTTTTCACAAATCAATAAATAACAATAAAGTAGATCATAAACTTTGAAAAAATAAATACATGAAAAAAACAAATACTATTTCTCATAATTAAATTTGACTTATAAAAATATAACTCGATTATAAATATACAAAAAACTTGAATAACAATCATTAAGTATTATCTATCAAGTCTATTATATTATATTGATTCTGTTGGATGGATTTCAGCTTCTTGTTGATCGATTGTTCATGAAAAAAAGCATCTTTTCTTTTTAATCGAAGTTTATCGAGCTCATTTGTAAGTTGTTGCTGTTGTTCATTAATTGATGTTAATTTTTCACGACCTCCAGAGCTTTCGTTTGGTTTTATATAGGAGGAGGAGAAAGCCAGGGAGAAAGCCTCCCAAAGTCAGGAAGAAAATAGTCACAACTCAAAGAAAGCTTTCTATTTGGAAGAAAGTGCCTGATTTTCCCTGAAAACCTAAGGAGAAAGCATTCTCTTTCTAAAAAACGGCTGCTTTTCTTTGAAATCTTGAAGTAAAATTTCTTTTTAGAAGAAAACGACTGTTTCAATTTGAAAATTAAGGAGAATCCTTTCTCTTTAGCATGTTTTTAGTATATTTTCTCTATTGAAAACGCCTTAAACAGCAGCTAACGAAAATTTCCAGGGAGAAAGGTAGAACGCAAGGAAAAAATTACCTGATAGAAATCCCCCATCTTCCACCCCCTAGTCGTATGACTTGAACATACGTGCCATTACATTTACATTAAACAAAAGCATTTCTGAATAGATAGGAGAAATCTTTAACCCTTTGGGGACGGGAAGCACATATGTGTGCTTCATATAGTACAGTAACCCCGTCCCCAAAGGGTTAAACAAGCAGTATTGTTTTAAGTACGGGTTGATTTCTTTTTTCTTTGAAACCGACTCATTTTCTCTTTTAATTTGAACTATTTTCTCTTTTAATTTGACGTATTTTCTCTTTGAAATTGAACTATTTTCTCTCAACGATTTATTAGATTAAGTCTCTTGATGACACATCAACTAGTTCTCCTTATGATATTAAGAGAAAGTTTTTTGCATTAGAGAAAAGAACTGGTTCTCTTAGGTATAGTTCATTCGACCTACTAAAAGATAAAAAGCCGCTAAGTGTTCGTAAAATTTTCAGGGAGAAAGCTATAATTTAAAAAAGAATTAGGGAGGGGAAATCTCCTCCTTCCCCCCGTAATCGTATGGCCTGACAACCTCCAGCAATCAAAAGTTTAGTCCCATGTACTGGCCTCCGATTACAAATTTTCGAAATTATAGAAATTCCTATATAGGATTTCGTTTTCTGAATTATACGATTATTTTCACTAAAAAAAGGTAAAAAATTGACCAAAATTTAGGTATTGTACGTTGAACTGCATCTCAAATGTATGTGCTTTACTTGCAAGAAACAGCTATTCACATTACCTGGTTTCTTCGTAAAAAGTGATCATCGAGGGGGAGGGGGGGGGGGG